CTATCTATCTATCTATCTATCTATCTATCTATCTATCTATCTATCTACCATCTACTGTATATCTATCTCTATATCATCTATGTATCTATCTCAATTTCTATGTATCATCTATCATTTATCTATCTACAGTATCTATCATCTATGTCATCTATATCATTAATCTACAGTATCTATCTATCTATCTATCTATCTATCTATCTATCTATCTATCTATCATCTATCTATCATCTCTATCATGAACCCACATATTAGCATCCTCAGATGAAGTCTTCATGTACAAAATGGGAAGAACAATGTACAAAATCTCCAAAAATTTGGGCTTCAGTATCCTCTGGAAGGCCATCTAACCTAGTTCCTGGAGGGAGGCTTTTTCTAAATTTGGGGGCCATAATAATAATTTAAAAACACTTCTTGGATTCAGCTTTCCTCCTGTCACAAAACTAAGGGAATTTGGTAGTAGGCTAATAACCATGCCCAAATTCCCCCCACCCCCGATGGATCCAAGTTATAGTAAATTTTCCAGATGTTTAGAAATTGAAATCAGTTTGATTCAACTGATTTTGTAACCAACATGCAAACAGTCCAGTGCTGCTAACAGCATATCATGAGTTTGAAAGTATCTACAAAGAGGGGGAAAGATTTCTCAGAGATCTTATGTCAAAGAATCAGGATCATGCATTAATTTACAGTTCAAAACATTTATTGTTCAAACCTGAAAACAGGAATCTGATCAACTAAAGTTCAACTCTGAGTCGGGATGAAATTAGGGTCAACCGAATTCAAGGGGAGTTGGACTTAGACTATTTGTGGGAACGTAATGACTCTGGGCTGGTGACTCATTTAACTCTACCGCTCCCAGCTCTGCCTGCTGTATCCCTATAATCTAGCCCATTTAAAAACAAAACAAAAACAAAAACCTAAGTACTCCACTTCTCCTTTTCACATAAAAAGGAATTCTACTCCATTATCCTGTTATGGATTTCTCCGTGGTTGAAATCCTCAAATCTACCCCAAGTTGAAAGGATCCCTCCATATCTCTAACCAGAGTAAATGAGGCTGCGCTGAAGGATATCTTAAATGACATACAATCAATCACACAGCAAGGTGTTGGATTCGGTGGTGGGATTCAAAAAAAATTACTACTGGTTCTGTGGGTGTGGTTTGGTGGGCGTGGCTTGGTGGGCGTGGCAGGGGTAAGGATACTGCAAAATCCCCATTCCCTCCCCACCCCACTAACCTGCTTTCCAGCTCCGTTCTCCTGTGCAGGGCAACCAAAGGAGACCCAGCCAATCAGTTAGGACTCGGGAGGCAGAGAAGAGATGGGGGCAGGGCCAGTCAGAGGTGACATTTGCTGGTTTTCTGAACTACTCAAAAATTTCAACTACCGGTTCTCCAGAACTGGTCAGAGCCTGCTGAATACCCACCTCTGCCAGAGCGTGACTCAAGGATTGGTTCCATGCCCGGATGCCCCCTCAGGCATCTGGAGAGCCTTCACGGTGTCCGCCTAGAGCCACAATCTGCTTCTCCAGCCTCATTGCTGCCTGTCACGGCCAAAGGTTTCAGGTCACATCAGGGAATAGTTTTAGTAGCAGATGTAAAGATTCTTCTCTTCGAGTGATATCATGCAAAGTCAGTCAGCAAATCCTGCACTAAAAATAGAGGCCAGTTTCAAAGTTGGTAAGATTCCCTTTGTCGTCCCTTCACACTCTGAGGAGCCACGCTGTCTACCAGTCCTGGAGAAGCTTACAGGTAAGCCGAGCCGAGCCGAGCCGAGCCAAGCGAACAGGGAATTTGCTTTGCCAAAGGGATGGACTCCGTTCCCTTTAAAATTCTAGGCTAGGAAACCTGGTCAGAGGAATCTCAGCCATCTCTCATGGCAAGGAGGCAGCGGGGAACTTTTTAAAACAATTTTAATGCAAGCACCAGAGGGATAAAATGAGGTCATCTAACATTCCAAAATATGAAGCCGTTTTATCCCATCAGCTGCATTTTTTCATAGTTAAGTGTCCACTGATTTCTAAGCAGACCTTAAACCTGTTGGGGTGTGTGTGTGTGTGTGTTTGTCATCTCTAGCTATCGTTTTTCTGTCTCTTACCCCTCCTTCCTTGTTTTCTTTCTTTAAGCACATTAGTTCCTTAACCCAAAGGCGCTTTTTTCAGGAGGCAACTGGATTTTCTTGTTTTTTTTTTCTTTTGAAGATGTTTCGCTTCTCATCCAAGAAGCTTCTTCAGCTCTGACTTGGATGGTGGGGAAGGGAAGGATTTATATTCCTTGCAGACAGCTGGTCATTTGCATCCTTTTAGAGAGTCCTTGGGGGCCACTTGGAGGTTTATCTGTGTCCTCAGGGTCACCTGAGTAGTTAGTTCTTTAGCTGACTTCTTCTGTAAAAGAGTTGCGTGCATTGGCCCCTCTGGCAGTCGTGGGGCTGCCAGCCTTGCGATCCCAACCAAGCCGATTTTCATATTAGCTCCTTGCGCTGAGAGTAAAAGTACAAATGCAACCCAATCCCTCCAGAGGAAATAAATATGTCCTGAAAATAAAAATAGTGGGGGGTAGAAACACACTGCAGATCAAAAGGATTTGGTTGTTGTGTAGGAGTGTGTGCTCTGGGTTGGTTCAAAAATAGTTTTATCTTTCCAGGACAGTAACCTTCATAGCACCTGAGACCAGAGAAACATTTTTTTAAGAAAGAGAAATGTTGACATTTATAATGTTCTCCAATAAATCAGGCAAGACTCAAGCTAGGCAGAGCTTTTAGTTATCCCTTTTTTTCAACCCCCCCTCCTCCCCTTTCTAATTTCTGCACGGATTTTCTGATTTTCATGACAGATTTATACAAGATTTATACCCCGTTCCCTGAAATAATTCGTACTGAGTTTTCCCACGCATTGCATCATTTTGATCAAAGGATCTTCTTCTTCTTCTTCTTCTTTTTTTCCCAATCCAAGCTCAAGCCAAATTCTTTTTCCAGTTCCACAGAAAGATCAGGTTGGAGGAGAGCCTCAACGTTTCTTCAGAGAGGCCCATTCGGAATCTGCAAAATATCCATTTACAAATCTCTCCAGCCTTCCAAAAAGATGGCAGCTTGGTCCCACACTTTGCTTTTAAACATGTGGGCTCCAGGAGCTGACTTGATAGGCAGAGGCTGGAGTTTTAAAAAGCAAAGCAAACATTTGGGACATTCCCGTCTCTCTAATTAAAGACCGAATACACTCGCACGCAGATTTTTGGAACTGACAGTGTGTTACCACCTGCCCCTTCCGAGATACGGACATCCCGATTGCCAAATTATTTAGCACGTCTCTCCTTTATTTTATTACACGTGGTCCCAGGTTCCAAAGTTAAAAATATGGCGGGGAAAACAAACTTGAAGAATTAATAATGAAAGAAACTGGACAATGTTTTTCAAGGGAGCAGCTCATCCTCCAATAGTACCTCAACAGGAAGAGAATTAAAATGTGTGATAAATTTGATTATGAACGCCAAATGCTTTGGGGTGCACAAAGGGCAGTTTAACAATCCAGGGGTGAACCCACAACAGGACACAATACTGTACTTGCACCAGCTGGTAGGTAAAAATGCCTTCTGGCTTGGGAAAACCTCTGTAGCTTTCCTCTTCTGCTCTTTCTCTCTCTTTATCTTGGGTTGATGAAGAAGCAGTGAGGAGCATTTGAAGCAGGTTCTTTCCAAAATTATTTAATCCCGAGGAATATCTTCCAAAGTCAGGGAGATATTCACATTTTTTTAGCAAGGGGCTTTCTGCCCTCATGACTGGCTGGGTGGGTGTGGCCACTGGACGTTGCTTCTTTGCCCTAATTGCCCCCAAACAAGATAATATACCAAAAAGTTGTTTATTATTTCGGGCATTTAATACTTAAATAAAAGACTGGGTGAAGCCAGGCTGAATAGCAGTGACTGTGAGAGGGATCTTAGTGGAGTTTCTGGTGAGTTATGTGATTCTTATTATGTGGGTATTTTCCCTCGACAAGCACTTTATCTAGCTTGACACTTTTACGAAGTGTGAAGTGCTCATGGATGAATGCCCAGAAAAGAAAAAAATCCGAAAAAGGTTCCATTTATTATTCTAGGCTGCTTGTCTTTTTGAGGTTATTGGGGACTCTCTGAGTACCACAGAGTCTTAGCTAGGGGGTCCCCTGAGCCCCTGTGAGCCCCCAGAAGCCCACCCCTGCCCAAAGCCCTAAATCAATGTTTCACAACCTTGGCAGCTTTGAGATGGGTGAATTTCAGCTTTCAGAATCACTCAGCCAGTATGGATGGCTGGGGAAATTCTGGGAGTCCACTCACCTTAATGTTGCCCTGTCTGGCCTTCGTAATGGTCACTATTCTTCAATATGGAGAACCCAGAATCTTCTCCTTGGCCCCGGAAAAAGCTAATCTTGTCATAGACAATTCTCTGAGGTGAAAATGGGTGACAGAGCAGATATTCAGATGATGCCCTGGGATGAAAAGGGATCATCTGTAGAGCTTTCACCATTTCCTACAAGTCTGAACAACCATTAAAAGTTCAAGAGTTTTGTCCAAAACAAAGAAAACTCTACCGATTGCACTGTCCTCCTCTTCCTGCGCTCAAAGGAACCTGGAGAATGGGTAGATGATCAGAGCTACATTTGCTATGAGATACATGGCTCGCTCATGTTCCCCTCCCATGTTAAAGGCATGATGGAAGTGGACAGCTCTTTTCCATCACCTCCACCCCGCCCCCCAATTTATTTCCTTCAATCCATCCACAGGAGAGGATCAGGGTAGTCACATCCAGATGTTCAAAAGCCCCATCCCTTTTTCCCATGCCAGTGGTGGAGCTTTGATCATAGTTGTCATGGACACCATTTGGATCTCCCCAGGTGCCTTGACTCCCATGGGAAAGAAGTTGTGTTGGTGCTAATTATTCTTTCATTCCTTGTACAAAGACTAATTTAGTGCTGTGGTTCGTCGGCATCCTGTGCAGACGGCAGCAGAATCAGACAGTGGGGAAGAACAGGGACCAATTCCCGGAGTCTGGGGAGGACTCAGATGAGGGTCCTGCATCCGATACAGAGATGGGGCCAGGACCATCTGGGAATTATGTGCTGACTCCGGAGCCTCCAGAATCTGACAGCAGCAAGGCAGAGGAACAGAGGGAGCCTGTTCCCAGTGTGCACTTGCACAGAGCTGCCAGAAGGCAAGAGCAGCTAAGACAAAAGGGGTGATTCGGGAGTAAGGCTTGGAGCTGATTGCCCCTCCCCTAAGGTATAAAGGAAGTGCAAAGGTAGGAAAACCTTTGCAGGAAGCGAAGTCATTTGCTCTGATCAGTTTGGACTCTGAAAGCTGCGTGGTGAATTTGTGCTCAGTTTGGTTTTGGCTAATTGGGACTTTAGTCGTTGATAGCAAGTCAGATAAGGTGCGTTCTTATCAGACGTTTTTCGAACAATTTCGGCAAGCGTCCCTGGGACTAATTATAACCGGTTAAGACTCATTCCAGGCTGTGAATGGTGATAATTCACAGCCATTGAACTAAAATAAAAGAGTTTTGGATTTTATATGAGTATGTTGGTGTCTCAGGAAGCCTTGTCAGAACCTTTAGGGAAGAGAAGATCACTGAAGGAAGCAGCTCATCCTCCAATAGTAGCTCAAATAATAACTGAAGCATTTGTTGCAATTAAAGTAATGATAGGTTGTAATTGCTTATTATGAGGTGGGCATAAAACATCCACACTGTGTATAGCTGTTGTGAAGCTGCTGAATCATTCCCAGCTTCCGGCTTCCTTGTCTCTTTCCCATAGAGGTCATCAGCAGATCTGCACATAATGGCTTTAAGCAATATTTAAAAGGGGGAGTCAGTCCTCTCATTTCTTCTTAAAAACGCAGTAAACAAGGAAGGAAAGAATCATGAAAATCCAAACAGATTTCACTGCAAGATTGGGATGGAAATCAATCAATCAGAATAGAGCCGGAAGGGACTGTGGAGCCCTTCTAATCGAACCACCTGCTCAACAGGACCCTATACAATTTCAGGCAAGTGGTTTCCAATCTCTTCTTGAAAACCCCCAAATGGGCATTTCTGCAAAATAATAAGATCGCAAACAAAAGTAGCCTGAGGCTTTAACTCCCCAAAGTTAGGAGGACTCATCTAAAGCTTCATGTTTGAGGATGTGTTGATTCTTTATATTTGGTTTCTTTGTCATGAGTTGTCCTTCTCTGCTTCATGTACTGGCTCAGCTGGTGGGCTAGAAATGAAGAAATGATGAGTTTAGCCCTCTCTTAAGAGCATAGGAGATGCCAGCTGCATGCCTTTGGGCTAATCACCAGGAAACAGTGAGTTCTAGTCCTGTCTTAGGTATGAAAGCTGTCTGGGTGCCTTTGGGACAATCACCAGGAGTTCGGGAGTTCTAGTCCCGTCATAGGTATGAAAGCCGGCTGGGTGCCTTTGGGCTAATCACCAGTAGTTGGTGAGTTCTAGTCTCATCTTAGCTATGAAAGCCAGCTGGGTGCCTTTGGGCCAATCACCAGGAGCTGGTGAGTTCTAGTCCCATCTTAGGTATGAAAGCCGGCTGGGTGCCTTTGGGCCAATCACCAGGAGTTGGTGAGTTCTAGTCCCATCTTAGGTATGAAAGCCGGCTGGGTGCCTTTGGGCTAATCACCAGGAGTTGGTGAGTTCTAGTCCCATCTTACATATGAAAGCTGGCTGGGTGCCTTTGGGCTAATCATCAGGAGTTGGCGAGTTCTAGTCCCATCTTAGGTATGAAAGCTGGCTGGGTGCCTTTGGGCTAATCATCAGGAGTTGGTGAGTTCTAGTCCCATCTTAGGTATGAAAGCCGGCTGGGTGCCTTTGGGCTAATCATCAGGAGTTGGTGAGTTCTAGTCCCATCTTAGGTATGAAGGCCAATTTGAATGCCTCTGGGACATCCCCCCCCCCAACCAACCTTCCTCGCAGGGTTGTTGTTGTTGGGAAAAAGAGGAAGAGGAAAGGATATTAGTATGTTTACCACTTTGTGTTATTGATAAAAATAATTAAGGCAGGTTAAAAAAAATCTGAAAAACTATTGTCATGGAGAAAATGGGAGGTGAGAGCATTAGGCTTATGTGCCACCCTTAGATCACCCAAAATAAAGGCAGAATATAAGATGTTTCAAAAAAAAAAAAATACCCCAATGGTTTGAGAACATTACTCTATGCAATACAGTATAACTAGCAATGAAAAGGAATTAATTTTCAACCCCTGCTTTTCTTTAATATTTTACGATATTGAATCCTTCAGCAGATGTCTCTTATTAGTCTCCTGGTTTTACTATATTTAAATGTAAACACTGGTTTTGATTTTCAATGGCCTCCTAGACTGTTATATAATTTATGGCTCTATGGTTTAACTCTCCTTGGATTGGGGTTTTCTTTACTCTGAAATCCTGTCTAAAAGACAGCCTATGATAGCTTGAAATAAATACGTTTCCTGATGGAATTTGATCTTCGGGATTCCAACTTTCAGCTTTTAAACTAATCTTCCTATTTTGAAAAAAATAAAATAAAACCCTTGTCTGAAAGGAAATAGGACAATACTGACGTTTCTGAAAATTTTGCATCCACTTACAACTTGGATCAAAAATTGTCCGAATCATTGTCTTCTTGTCAAGTAGGAAGAATATATTACACTAAAATGTAATTATTTATTCCAATGACACATTTCATCTTTTGGCCATAATGTCAATTTAGGTTGAATTATCCAGCTGAGGGTGGCTGGAGAAACTCATTCATTCAACTTCTTTTCTCTTTTGGCTTTCTCTTTCATTTCAGGACCTATTAAGTGATTAAAAGAGAATGTATTTTTCCCACACCAGAGATCAGTTTTGGCTCACTATAAAGAGTCTATGATTACATTGCTTTTATTTTTTTTTGCAAATAAATGATTGTACTCCATGGCATATGTAGCAATGATACCTTAATACAACCAATGCTGACATTTCAACAGATTTTAAATATAAATAAATATATTTATTTATGCACACGCAAAATGTAGTCACTGAACCAGTAGTAACACGGGCTGAATCCCACCTGTTGAGGTAATTCCCCGTTAGGAGAATGAGCGCATACAGGGAGACGTATAGAGAGTTGTGTTGGAATAATACACACAGAGCACACAGATACACTGTACAGTAAATGTAGGTTTTTACTTCCAGAAAGGTTTAAACAAAGTCCAAAACAGGCAGTCCAAAGTCATTCACAGGTAAAATCAGTCAGTTTTCATCCAGGGATAATCCAAATATCAAATTCCAGTGTCAAAAACAGTTCAGTATCAGACTTACATTAAATCCAGTAATATCAGTCAATTAGAAGAAATGGAGCAACGGCAATACTTTCCAACAGAAGGAAACAGAGATATACTTACACTCTCTTCTGAGACTCAGACTAAGACAAACCAGGTTTCTGGCTCCATCTTATGGCCGTTTGAGAAACCACACCTAATTACAGTTTTGCATTTTCTTAAAGTTGCAGTTTTAAAATGTTTATCCTGGTTTATATATTTCTAACCCAAATAGCTGTTAGGTGACTCATATTCCTAACACCACCCCTGCCTAAAATCCAGTCTATCTCCAGATAGGGGTCTCCTCCAGATTCCCAGATCTTGCTGTGGGGCTTTGAATCGATGGCTTTTGAATCTGGCTGTAAAAAAAAACAAAACATCTGGAGAACCTCAGAGCTCTGAAGAGCCCCAGAGGCTGTAGACTTTGCCTGGGAAACCCTGTTTATTCTTCTTGCCTGAGAGTTGGAGAGAGTCAGCCAAACGTCTAGTCCAGAGAAATTTTGGTGGCAATTTCTCCTCTTCGCCATCCACAGTCTGAGAAGTTTCTCAAAGGTAACCAACATGCCAATGCCATTCCATTAATTATTTTTGAGTAGT